ATCTGATTTTTGAAAAAAAAAAAACCTTTAAATCTAATTTTGAAATTGGAAGTTTAAAGCTCTTGTAGGTTGTAATGTCCACTATCTGAAATTTGGTTATAGGACCAACACGAGCTGAACAACTAAGAACCCCAAGATCAAAGCCCAGTCATAGAGCAGTTGTAGATACTTTCGAGATTAAAAGTTAAAAATGACACTAAAAGCGATGCAAATAATTTGTATCTCTATTTTGGAAAGTTATTTTTTATACCCCTTTTTTCTCCTAGCCAAAAGAGGCTTCTGTAACAGAATATCATAATTAATGAAATTATGAAAGGGAGAGTTTATTCAACTGAAAAAAAAAAAAAAACATACAACTCCTAGAAGGGTTTAGCCAGACACGGCCTGGCTAATTGATCGCAAAGAAAACTAAGGGAGTTTTGATATCATTGTCCTCTAAGTTGTCCAAAGCTTCTTACTTGGCCGGCGTTAGATATTTAAGGGACGTCCGTCACGTCCCTCTTAAGGATAACGATTTCTGACAAATGTGTTACTCGTTGTCTCCCACATGCTAGCAACTCGTACGATCCCACTACTTTTATAGATAGGCCTAGAATTAATGCATGATGATCTTGTAAATAAATGGATTAGTTCTTACCCTTCAGCAATATGGTAAGGATTAAACCATTATCCCAAACCCAGTAGCAAGAATGAGTTAAACGGAAACAGAAGTACATATAAACATGCACATTTTTCACTTGCAGCTACAATTTTTTCACAAGCTTTTTTCCTCACAAAAGTTTGACTTGTCACATTGAGAAGAATGGTCCTCTCAGATTCATTTATGTAACATATGAAACTATGGTTACCTTAGACAACACAAGAATGCCCGACATACCCCTAAAACTTGTTTTGGGGGGGGGTTGAAGAAAATTATTTGGCTCCGCTTGGTCCAACACGATAATCTTTTAGCAACCGATTTCAGGATGTATCCGATCACAATTAGCAGTTACCATGATATGCCAAGGAACGATGAACAAAGTCTGTTGGAAACACTTGCAAACCAGCCTTTGAGTGTGTCCATTGAGGCTTCTGGTAGAGATTTCCAATTCGGTGTGTATTTGACGGGCGCTGGGCACTGCGGACCTCAGCTTGATCATGGAGTGGCAGCTCTTGGATATGGAACAACAAATGGTTTGGACTACATTTTAGTAAAGAACTCGTGGGGAGAGAAATGGGGAGAGAGGGTACATAAGGATGAAGAGAAACGGAAAGTCTGATGGACTTTGTGGCATCAACAGAATGGCCTCTTTTCCGACCAAAACTAAGTGAACTTATTCAGTCTTTCCTTTCTTCCTCGCTGTCTGTTGTCTATTTCCTACATTGTTGTTTATGCGTAATTTGATTATATTTAGAGATAAGGGCAGAGAAATCTTACTGTAGATGGTTCTAACCTTCTAAACATAATAAACCACCAAATTTCAAGTACAAAGAAATTAGACACGGCTACTAACTCAGATTGAAGATGTAACCAACGAAGCACTAAAACACAATCAGCATTATTTGTTTATGATTCAACTGAAACTCCTAAAGAAAAGCAGAAGTGAAACTGCAAGGCTAATAGTTTGCTACAGAAAAATAAATTAAGCAATCTTAGCAAGCCATCATACCAAATTTCAAGCACCTTCGGTAGAAACACGAGGAGCTCTTGGTTTTAGCACCACAACCTCCAGTATACCATCTGGTCGAAAACTTGGCGAAAATAATCTGGGATCCACTGGTCCAGGCAAATTGAAAGATATGGTGAAAGGGCCTGCTGGGCAGAGCTGATGTAGTTTCAATTCAAATTCCTCAGATTCATTTTTCAAAATTTGAGCATCTGCTACCACTCCCTCTATGCGTACACTTCCATCCGAATGTATATTGCACTTCAGATTACCTGATATGAAAACTATTGTGTCAAAATTGGTTCAGCTTGGTGGGTAGAGTATGCATGAGTGATACAGAAGAAAGAAATTAGGAACTTACTGTTACTACTCTTAACACCGGGAAGGGCAACGCGGAAAAGGTAGCCACCATCACTTTCTCCTATGTCAATAAGACCGAGAGGTGGTCCAATTGCACCTTCTTTAGCAGTTCCATTCAAAGATACAGCCAGTTTCAATTTTGGAGATGCTGTGTTCTGTTCTGGATACATGCTTCTGGAAATAGAATTATTATCACCCAATAAATGCTGGATTACTGCAAATTAGATGAAAATCCAGATGAGGGCATTACATATGGACAAGGACTAAAAAGGGGCTATGCTTCCTTGTTTAGTCGGAAAATGCTTACACAGTTACACCTATAAGAATTTTAGGAAAACATGAATTGACGATATATTGAAAACCATATCAGCAACATGTAAGCAATTAAGGGGAAGACGTTATTAAGAGCTTGTTTGGTAATACTAAAAATTCAATTAAAATTGAAAATATAGCCGTTATTAGGTCCCACCCGTCTAATAAAAGTCAACAGTAACGGCTAGTTTTTCAATTTTAATCCGATTTTAATCTCTACCAAACACACTCTAAAATTACCTAAGTTGAAGCTTCACACTTGCCTTCCATAACTTGTCGTGCTTTAGTTCTCATTAGTTATCTTAAAATAAAATGCAAATTGATTGATGCTTATATTATTATATAGCCACCAACATTCCTCCCTTGCATTGTCCGAGTCAGTCGACCATCCCAGTCAAAGCGGATAGACGACTGAACGACCCTCTCTTTATGAAGAAGGAAAAGGTTAATTTAATTGGTTGATGCAAAGAAGGTTGAGTACATTAGTTCCACTTCCACTCATCATTTGTCTCTCCACTATCACTACCAATCAACTAAATGAACAACAACTAGTTTGTCTAAAATATCGTGTTCAAATATTCTAGCTAGATGCATCTAGTACATCGATTATAACTAACTAATTATGATTGGGCAATGTAACTAATCCTGCGTTGTGATTTCAGGAATGAATAAGCATTTACCCACCAGCTGTAAAGCCATGTCATCACACCCTGCCTCTATATAAAGAAGATGAATATCCCACTTAAGGGGGATATTCACAATCATTCATCAGATACATATCTTTCTTCAAGAATATTATTTTCTTCCCATACTTCCTTTCACACCGGAGTAGCCACGGGGGAGTACCCTGACACTTCGGCAGGTTTTAGGCCACTAACTTTGCCATCGACAGAGGAGGAAAATCAGCACTAGCATCATTGATAAAAGAAAATGTTTTGAAAAATGCAACTAATTATTCGTGCAAAATCCCTTTGCGCAGATTAAAACACAGCGAATATCCAAAAAAAAAGTTATTCTCGTGTAAGAGTTAAATAACTGAGATTTACTACTCATGAGATAGCAACAAAATTTAAAAGTTTCTGCAATGCACTTATATCAGCATCGGCGCATATATAAACAAAGATGTGATATCAAAGTAGTGTGTGTACGTCACATCACAAAAAGAAAACATGTCATCACAGCATTAGTAACTACTAAATTTCTAGAAGGCTAACATTTTAAAAATATATGGGAAATGGGTCCTCTCCATCCTAGAGGCAGATTCAGCTCCTCGATGCTGTGTCAACTGGAATGGTTTCCAGTATTTAACTTTGTAAAAGACAAATCACAAAAAATCTTTCATTCCCTCAGATAACCTGCATGTTTTTGATTTAATCCTAATTTCCGCAAATCAACTTATATTTGTTGCCTTTATGGGTCTGGAACTTGACAAATTGATTTCCCATGTGGACATTTGAATTCACGTGTCTTTTGCGCAATCATTAGAAGAGTGTCATCACATAATACACAGAGTTAATGAGAGAATTTAAATTTTGAATTATCCCTGCAAGTCATTTGGGTGATGAAACCAGATATTTTGTACGCAGGAGAGTATTAATTTGACAAATAAGAATTGAAGAACAAGAAAAGAAAGGGGGTCCAAGAAGAGAAAAATTGAGGGTAAGAGGAGATTAATTTTTATGCATATATTAAGGGTCATCTATTACAATGAATAAGCCCTTTATTTATATAGCAAGAAGGATATTTTTCATGCTTCTATTTCAAAACTACATTCCTAAAAAGTTCATACTCATCTTCTTGGTTCCACTTGCACCTACTCCACTCTCACCAACTCTATGAGGGTCCACATGAGGACACTCGTCACACTTCTACCAACTCTACGAGGGCCCACACGAGGGAACTCGTCACACTCGTACTTCCACGTTCTCTTCCAGTCTCTCCGTAATGGTGTATTTATGGCTAAAAAAGTAAAAACACTGAGAAGACTTCTCTAAAAATCCAATCCCAGTAACTGGATTTTTCAAGACTTAACCAATTTCCACAACTTGCAAGCACTTGGGTCAGTTACTTATTACTCTCCCTGGATGTAGACAAGTCTTGCCAAACCACATTAAATTCGACCATTCCTGGTCCCGCATTCATGAATGACTAATGATGATAATTCAAAGATTCAACATCGGGACTATGAAAAAAACTGGAGAAATTATATGAAGATAAGAATTGCACTGGAACCGGGAAATGCACAGGATGGAGATCAAGGCAGACAAGAATATGATGGATCACATTTTAATGCAAGGAAAGAAGAGAAGGTCCTTTGTCTTCTTACCAAGCTCTACAGAAAAGATACCCTAGATGTAAAGCAAATAAATCATCGTTCTTGTCTAAAAAGGAGTAGAAAACACAACCAATATGAGGTACAAAATCTATCATTGATTGTGCAAGGAAGACTATCTTTCATGTTTTTCAAATTAAGTGATTTGGTAAAGACTTGAGGAGGTTTTTTAGAGAAATACAAAGCGATGCACACAAAAGGTTTGAGAGTTCTCTATCACGAGTTGAGCAAAAATATACGAGGGTTTAGGGTTTGGGTACATATCAAGTATGGTATTTCTTGTATTGTATTTATCTCTCATGGGAAAGTATGGTCACTCTCCATGGATATATTAAAGTTAAGCTGAGACACGATAAACTAGAGTTCCTTCACTTGTCCTCATATTGAAAGGCCAAAACTTTGCAATATATACAACAGAGTGAATACCAAATAGCAAACAGCTATACACAATTTAGAACAAACAGATTCATACATCTACATAACATCAAATGAATACATCCTAAATTTACGATTTTGAATAAATGTACACACAAGTATAGAACCCAAAAAGGAAATGCACATAAATGTCAAATTCAAGAATTGGAAAAGAGATAACTTTACCTAGATTTCTTTACCTGAATAATCAAGAAAGTTGTTGATTTAATATACACACTTCGACCACTTCACAACTGAAACCCAAAAACGAATCCAAATCTACAAAAGCCCACACTCTAATTAATTGAAATAGTAAAAACGATTAAAGATGAAATTACGAAAATTGATATGCGTTCTTTCTCAGTCACGGGATTTACCTACAATCCGTTTCAGCCCTCAGTATCCATCTGCACTGCTGTGTGCTATGCATAAGAAAATTGACACAGAATTGGCCGATTTTTAAGAGAAAAAATAGAAAGAAAGAAGAAGAAAACTGAGATTTCTTGGAAGTCGCAAAGATGTCAGGCAAAGAGTGAGAAAGTGAATGTACTTCAAATTGAAGCTAATGCAATTTTCCTTTTATTTTTCTTGTTTTCCTATTTTTCAATGTGTTTGACCAAATCTAGACATATAAACATTAAATTCAGACAACACAGTACAGTGTCATATTTCTTCCAACCAAACGCTACACTGCCTACTGAAATTTTATTACTTTAATCCTCAATGACATAGGTTAATCCTCAATGACATTGGCCTTAAATGTAAATGAAGTATATGAAACATAAACTTATAACTGATGAAAATGAAATCTCCTTTTGAAGATCTGTTATTAATTAAACTTAATTGATTTACATGAATCCGTTTCACAAGAAGCTCAATTAATTTAATTATTCATACAATGGGAATAACACATGATACTTGTTGACGCAAAAAAATATATTGCTGATGTGTCCTACAGATCTCAAGGCTTTCCACGTCCACGCAAGCTTGGTTCCTACACATTTGGACAAATCGTTAATCACATGTGGCCTTATCCGGAGGGGGTGGAGTTGGACACGCGTAGCTTGCTTTGAAGAGAAACGAATAAAAGATATGGTAGCAAGATTATAGATTTGAGAGTCTAAACTTTCATTAGGGCAAGACGAATGGAGGCCGTGGGATAACAAGGCACGTGGCCTCATCCAAGTGATTGACACTTCTTGTCGTAGACATCAATCAATCACAACCTTAAATGTTAATAGCATTTTCGTATCCATAAGACCTAGTTTGCGGCCTTGAACTTGACCAAATAGGTTGGCAGCAGTGGCAGTAAGTTGTCTTGTTATTTATAATGATCCATTTAGGATCTCTTTCCCGCATCGTCCTAGTTTGGCTCTTCCCATGGGATCTGCGTTTAATGGGGCCAACCCAACTTCAATTCGGGGAAGGAAATGGGTCGTTCACACTTAAGGGTCGGTCCAGTTTCGTCTTATGTTAGTGTACAGAGCATGAGACCGTCGAATCGTTTATCACGCAGAAGGGTTGAGGCCACATGAAAATTCTCGTGTAGAGAGGTGTAACAATATTTTTCATACAACAATGTAAGAGATCTAATTTCATTTCACATAAGAGGTTTGTTAATAAGATAAGTAATAACCTTATTTCAATTAATATAATAAAAAAATAATGTTTAGTTTACAAATTACTACTTTTAAAAGTCTAGAGACGGAAATAAATTTTTTTAAAAAGTTGAAAACATAAAATATTTTTTCTAGGTCTAAGACACATTCATTATGTGCTCACACGCACCATTAACTTTGTCAAAATATGCAAGTCAGAGCCTTATTAGAATTGACAAACTCTTCTTCAGCAACGTTTATGAAATTTATGCATTTATCAAATTTGGAAATTAAAAGACTGATACTCTTAATAAAACGAAATGTAATATACATTAAACTTTCGCGATTAGTTCCATCCCCATTCATATTTGAAATTCTCATTTCGGCTTACTTGATTTCGTAGGAACTTGTGATTCATCCACGCAGGGCACGATGTAACCAATTGTCAAAANNNNGGCACGATGTAACCAATTGTCAAAACGAAGAAAGTTTGCCATCAATTTGAATTGGAACT